CATACCATACGCGCATCACGATGGAAAGAATATTTATTCACACGTACATATATATGTAGAGATAGTAAGTATTGTTGGCAAAAGAAGTATTATATATAAATCATACAAAAATATCAAAATATTTGAATAATTTTTTTTTTGTCATGCTATAATTATTAGTGATACGCAGTCTCAAAGTTTCCCCTGACGCACTGCCACTGTATGTAATACAATGATAGATAGATCAATTATATAACTCTAATTCTAACAAATAAAAGAAATAACTTTACAAATTTTTATAGAGTAAAATTTCAGTCTGCATTTTTTATCAATGTTTAATGAAAAGTCTTAAAGCTTTTCATCAAAAATATAATTGTGGAATGAAAACATAGAAAACAATGAAAAGTAGTAAACATTTCACTTTTCAGTTTGCATTTTTAATTTCTCATTTTCACTTTTTGATGGAACAAAAATACAAATGAAAAGTGCAAAGTAAAAAATTACAAAGTGTATTAGTGGAACAGGCCCCTGGTTCAAACTTCTGACGAGTAAATTTTGATTTTTTAATTTTGGTATTAATTGAATATACATTTTGTAAATAAAAAAATTTTTTTGGAAAAAATCTGAATATTTTTGTTTTTATTTATACTATATTAATTTCCTTTTATAAATCATCCTTTCATGAATTTTTTTTATACGAAATAATTTTGATGTTTCTTCATATCTACAAGGCACCGCGACGGCTCAGTTTTTTCCATATTTTTAATTTTCGTGTGCATAAATATGTGCATATTTAACAATATTATTTCAATAAAAATTCGAACTTTAGTTCTGAGTGAAGACAAACATGTTTAGTTTTGCTGACTACGCTTTATCAGTGTGCGTGTTTCCAATAAAATGAAAATGTATTTCTCATTAGTCACAATGAAGCGATTAAAGTCGCTTTAAAATAGTTTTGCTTTACCAATGTGCGGCACCCGTCAGGACATAATCTATTGTCAGGCCCGTATTTAAAAATTTGGAGCCCCACCGGGCATATAATTTATGCCCCCTCAAATAAATAATATAATATAACACTTATTATTTTGTCCATAATCAAGATTTTTTAATATTAAAATATAACTTATAAATGAAAATTGTTTAATACTTTTTTTAATTAACAAATTATCTATCTATTCTATATATATATAAAATATAAATATATAACTATAACTATAACTATAACTTAACTATATATATATATATATATATATAAAATAGAACCCCCTTTTTTGTATGTACGCGCATAACTCAAAAATTACCCAACGGATTTTAGTACAGTTTTCACTAAGAAAGGTTTTAATATACAATTTATTCGTATAACTTAATTAATAAAATTAATAAATTAAAAAATTATTTGTTCCATACATTCAAATATACTTAAATAGCATAAATTTATCATCTGTGCACAGATTTCTCTTGCGCAATGGCACTTTTGTAAGATTTCAAAGACAGCGACTCGAGTTCAAATCTCAATACCAGACACTTTTTGTTTGCATTTTATTCCCACTTTTCACTCAACTTATCTTAGTTTTGTTTGTAGAAACATAATAACTGAGTTATTTCAGTATAGTTATTATAGTTACTATAGTTCCTGTGTATATGTATGGATCGTATTTCTTTTTTTTTTTAGTTATCTCATCAACGTCTACAGTGGAAGTGGAGCACGTTCTCGACGTATTAGTGTTATATTGAACAGGCACACCAAGCGAAAAAATAATTGTACGTACGATTAAAACGACGTTTTCAGTCGATATAGGTATTAATTTTATTTTTGAAGTGGACTGTCACGGTTGGTTTTTGAAGTTGTAGTTACCGTACGTTTGCATTTTATGCCTGTTCGCGCAATCAAAATAGACCAAAATACTCACACTGGCAGTGACATTACGCGTTATCGAATGCTATTGACTCTTATCGTGAGCGCGGTTGATAATCACAACACGATAATAATAATTGGTTCTTTGAGCGCACAGTCGAGACACGTCGTCAGTCATTTACCAAGTCGTCTAGGCAGTTACTGCGTGTTACGTGTGATCGCTCGCCGTACACCATCGTTGTTATTATTATTATTATTTAAAAATAGTAGTGTGGTGCTAAAATAGTAGTGTTTTATATTACCATCCTATTTTACCTTTCCACCTATTGTATTGTTAGCCTTTTTCCTTGATGCCCCTGAAGGTACAGGAAAAACATTTTTAATTAACTTATTGCTCGCCAAAATAAGAACAGACAGAATAATCGCTCTTGCTGTGGCTTCATCTGGAATTGCAGCTACGCTTTTAGAAGGTGGTCGAACTGCGCATAGCACTTTCAAGATCCCGCTAAAAATGTCCTACGATGACACATCAAGTGTCTGTAATATATCCAAACAAAGCAACACTGCTCAATTGATGCGGGATTGTGTATTCATTGTTTGGGACGAAGCATCCATGACCCACAAAAGCTCGGTTGAGGCATTGGATAGAACCTTGCGGGACTTACGTAATAAAAATACATTAATGGGTGGCTGTACAGTCTTATTTTCTGGAGATTTTCGTCAAATCTTGCCAGTTGTAGTAAGAGGAACGAGAGCTGATAAAGTCAATGCATCATTAAAGAGATCTTACATTTGGCCAGACATAACTAAATTGAAACCTAAAACTAATATGAGAATATTATCATCTGACCAAGGAAATAAAACTTTTGCTGATGCTTTACTCCGTGTTGGTAATGGTCAGTCACTGACTAGAAATGGTAAAATTGATCTGTCTGAGCTTTGTTTTTTGATGTCTAATTTGATGGACCTAATTGAAAATGTTTACCTAGATTTACCTAATATTTCGACTAAAATGCCAAGTTGGTTTCAAGAAAGAGCAATATTGTCACCAACTAACGATCAAGCCAACTAACGATCTGTTAAAATTCAACGCACCAACAAAAGTTTACTATTCCATTGACACTGTTTTAGATGCAGAGGAGGCGATACATTATCCAACTGAATTTTTAAATTCTTTATCACCTTCAGGGACCCCACCACACAAATTAATTCTAAAAATAGGGTCTCCTATAATTTTACTTCGTAACTTAAGTCCACCTAAATTATGCAACGGTACAAGATTACAAATAAAGTCTTTAAAAAACTGTCTGCTTGAGTGTATAATCCTTACTGGCTGCGGAGCTGGGGAAATGGTCTTGGTTCCTAGAATACCAATGATACCAACCAATTTGCCATTTCAGTTCAAACGGCACCAATTTCCCGTGAAATTAAGCTTTACAATGACTATTAATAAGGCACAAGGTCAAACATTAAACGTTGCAGGTTTAGACTTAACCGTCCAGTGTTTTTCCCATGGTCAATTGTACGTAGCTCTGTCACGTGTCACATGCAAACAAAATCTATTTGTGATGGCCCCAGAAGGTGAGACACTTAACGTGGTGTACCCAGAAATATTTAATACTTAAGACAAATTGATATAATTAACAAAAAAAATAAAAATCATACATCATACATCATAACGAAACAAATATATTCCACACGTATATAAAACAAATTAATCAAATTAAATATCTGATATAATTCATATCAAACTTTTCACATATTCCTAAACATATATAAATGTACTGAAATTTAGCAATAGCAAAGCATTGCCGGGTCAGCTAGTTATATTATAAAAATACAATTTTTTTTAAATTTACAAATTATAACATAATAAAATATACTATTTTATTTCTTTTTAATGTTTCATTTTTTTTTTCATTAGGTACATCATTTTTAAAATTAATTTTACTAAAATATTTTGCCGCCCCTGAGACTTGACGCCCCCGGGCATGTGTCTATCCGTACCCCGCTCTAAATACGGACCTGATTGTTGCGGTTGAAACCTAACAGTGTGATGAATGCCATAACTAGACCATTCGAGGCCCGTATGTGAATCAAAACCTTGACTCTCCTAATCATCTAACGTTTTTGAGCATTCGACCTTTTGAGGCCCCATAATATAAAGTTCGAGACCCGGGAACTATGTGCAATGCATCCTATTCATAACCGGTTTTTATGACACTGAGTGTGATCGCGTACTAAAACGTAATAATATTGTAATAATTATTATCTGTAAAGATTAACTACAATCAGTTTTATTCATAAATATAAAAAATAGCTCAAAAATATAATTTATGATTCATGGCACCATTCACAGGTAGTGCCATAATTAGAGGTTGGTGAAATGGGCTATGGGCACATCAAATTAAGGGGCGGTATTTGTGTTTAATTAAAATTGGGTTTTTTGCAAAAATAAGTTCTGAAATAAAATCCACCATGGAAGGTTGTTACTACTTTGAGGTTGTGATGGTACAACCGGAAATAAAGTTATAAGCTGGTGATAGGTCTCGATCAAGGTGGATAAATACGGTGAACCAGCTAACACCCTCTCATCTGTTTAGAGGGGTACGTCGTATTTACTACAGATGATAATCTCAACAGAGTGCGCTGTTTGCAATAAGTGTCCTGTTTTTATCATCAGCTGACCGGGCACCAACTGGCGGATGCATTTTTTTTGCAGCATACCGATTACCGGTGATCAACATAATATAATATTATAACTATTATACTACCTATGATTATTATTTATTAACGGCTGTTGACGTACTTAAAATGAGTAAAAACAACAAATGTTTTGTTCCTGGCTTTGATGTTGGGTATAAAAAACATAGGAAGGAACATTCAGCTTTGATTCCCAATGTTAAGTATACATCACTTTTTACAGCTCCTAAAAATGATGTAAATATATAAATAGGTACTGGTTTAGTTGACGCCTGCCACTAATATTTCTTGTATTTTCTATTATACTGCAGATAAAAAAGTTACGAAAAACAGCGGTATTATCTGAATATATGTACGTTAGAAATTCAATTATTGGATATTTTAAAAATAATGTTTGGTAAAATCCTCCAAGTAAAATTAATAAGATAGGCGCAATAACAGTGGCACTGTGTTTAATATTATAGAGTAGGTGGGAGGTGCTAAATGTTTTTTGAATTTACGGCATCATGCGATGACAGTTTTTTCGTGAAACAATTTTGAACTCGATAATATTTATGTCATGAACATTTATACTAGTGATATAAATGTTGCGACAGTTGTTGTTATGAAACAAAAATATTTAGGTATTATACAGAAAGTACAGAACTGTCTTGACAGAAATATCTTGAGTGTTCACACGATGTGTGCAAAATATTTCTGAATACGAGTGACAGTCACATAACAACTTCTTTTTATAGTGCGCAGTAGTTACTTTACAGTGCTCATAATTTGTATTTTATATTCATTATTATAAACCATGGTATCGAAGCGTGAACGAATTGCGGCTGCTATTATTATTATAGAAAGTTTGAGCAAAAAACAAAAAAAAGGCTAGAAGTGTGTGGGAACGCAAATGCCTTCAAAGAAGAAAATGCTATGGTGCATATGATGCATTATCCCGAGAGCTGAGAATGGAAGATCCTTCACATCTGAGAAATTTTATAAGGATGTCTGCCGAAGATTTTGAGGAACTAAGTTCGTGGATTGCACCAATTGTCTAAAAAAACGGATACCAATACGCGTGAGGCAATAAACGTTGGTGAACAATATTTGTAGAAAACAAATATCAAAATGAATATGATTAAGAATATAATATATAATATAAATGATAACTTATAATATTATAAATATAATATTAATTTTAATTAATTTTATTATTAATTAATTTTAATATATTATATTATAATAATATTATTATTATTATTATTAATTAATAGAATGTACAGCGAACTACACAGAACACAAAAAACTGTCAACTGTCAACTGTTTTGATTCATCAAAACAGTAGATAGTCTATTAATTACACTGTCGACGCTTATTTCGGACATGTTCAGACCGGCGCAAGAATTGTCACGAGACTTGTGTCGCGAAAATTAGATAAGTGTACGACAGAAATGTAAACAATTATTCATACGTTAACAGTTTACTGTCATACAGTTATTTCGTTATAAAACTTTCATCGTGTGAGGCCGGCTGAAGATATTACACACAGAATATAATTACAATGAAAATAAATAATAAGAATTTTAGATTAATTAAAAATAATTTACAGGAAAATAAATAATTGGAAACCTAAAAATCAATGAAAATGATCATTGTACTTTAGATTGTAGGTCGTATGTATTTAGAGGCAATTGGGCATTTGCATCCCCTCCCCCCGCATCGCCGTTTTTTTCTATATAACACAATAGTATGTGATCAACGGTAAATTATCTTTAAATTTATATGGAAAAAAAATGAGTGCTCCCCATGATCACAACTCAAATACACCCTTGCTTAGATCCCTTATACTTACCTTAAGCAATGGCGGATCTACACATGGGGTAAGTAGAGTGCCTTGATAGAGATCTACGGTATTAGCTTTCCTCTTCTTTAGTGTTCTATTTTAAAGGTTCTTGAATTTTATGATTCATCCATTAATATTTTCCAACCAATTATTTCCCATTAGTAATCCAATTCTTATTTTTATTTACTTTTATTTACTATGAAATTATTCTAATTTAATTTAGATTAAATTACAATTATATTTCTATTAAATTATTTTCAATCAAATATTTTTCTAGTTATTTATTTTTGAAATTTTTTTTCGGTGAAATTATTTTTCAACAATTTATATGCTCCCGAGTAGGTACCTACTTTAATCATGCAGTCGTCGTCATACTAAAATTTAACATGAATTTTCTACAAATTTATAGTGACATGCATGATGATTCATCAGCAATAATTTTTTTGCGAAAGCAAATATTATTCATACGTCTTGGATTTGTGACAATGGACACGAAATGGTTTTAGATATAAAAAAGTGCCGGTGGCGATGTCATTTAAAATCATGTCGAAAAGATAAAGGTGTTAAGACTAATAATTGGTTATAAAGTACAAAGGTAAAGTTATCAACTATTGTTCACTTTATTTATGGTTGGGCTCATGAATTTACATCGGTGGACTTTTGTAAACGTGAATTTGGACTGAGCAAAGCTACTGTAGTAGATTAGAACAATTATATTAGAGAAGTATATGTATGGAAACTTTCTCGCGGCGATTCAAAAATAGGAGGTGGGGTTGCATTGTTGAAATTGACGAAAGTTTATTTATCAGACGTAAAAATAATCATAGGCACAATTGGGGGGGGCTAGGTGGCTAAGCCCCCTCAAAAACATTCAAAGCCCTCCCAAAAACTATACAGAACTTTATATTATTACATTGATAAATAAAAAAAAAATATGTGATTACTACTGAAAAAACGAATAAAATACATTTTTGTTATTCTTTTTTTAGTAACAATATTATTATCATGGTCTTAAATAATATATCTATTATTCCTAGAGTCTAGACCATGCTTATTATAGCGCACTGCAGAACATAATTATGTTTTGAAAAATATGATAAAAGGAGTTCCTAATTATTTAACCATCAAAGAAAATATATCTAAAGATACGTTTCCAAATCTTTTTAAAATGATTTAATTGGCTATCACTCTTCCGGTCAGTTCGGCTACTTGCGAACGGTCATTTTCTCCAATAAGAAGAATTAATAATTATCTCAGGTCTACTATGTCACAGAAATGGTTTCTGAAATTTGCAATACTTAATGAGAGATATTATTGTTGATACCGAAATTATTTTATATACATTTGCTAAAAAAAATAGAAAAATAAGAATATAAAATGTAAAAAACTGTATTAAATCTGTTATCTATACTTAAAAGCGAATTTTTTGTTTTATTATTTATTTTTAAATTTTACTTGCCTTCCAATAAGCACATTTTTTTATAGAGGGTAAAGGGTGGAAAAAAAGCTTCTGAGAGGTAGTGATTGAAAAATGTATGTGAGGG